CCCCTCTCTTCCCTCCCCACTTACCATACAGTAGTTTACTGCAACAAAAACGTTGGTTTGATTATAGTGATGGGTTTGGCTTCGACAACCTCTTGTTGCAAAAAAAAATTTCACGTTTGAGAAAGACACGACAGTTCCTGTGGACACGCAGGTATACGCTTCTTTTTGAAAGTTATCACCGTTTGCTAACGTGGCTATTTAATGTTATAGTGACTTCAGTTTGATAATAGCTTTGGCTTCGGCAACCAGTCGTCGTTGTTTTGTCCGCGAAAAAGTTTGTATTTGAGAAGATAACGCGACGGCTCACCGAATGTAGCCAATATTTATTTACGCCCCCCCCCCTTTTTTTTTCTCCCATTCTCATTTGTCCTTTTGGGTTATTGTCTTACATTATTGCATAATCAAAATTTGCTCTTATTTATTGTTGTTACTCTCACTTCCATTGTGTATAATGATAAGAAATCAATTTAATTTTAGCAACTTGCCCCTATAAACTTATCAGCGCGCTTGTTACTTTTGTTACCCACTTTCTCAAAAGTATGACTTGTAGTCCTTTGCGGAGCCCTTAAAATTATCAGCCTTGTTTGTCTATTACTATATAGACGCATTAATATTTTTATTATAAACGTCATTGTATAAAGAAGTTTGCAATCATAAGACTTGGTGACAAAACGATAACGAATTAAACAAAAACAAAGGAGAAACCCCCAATAGTCTATTGAAACACTAGCTGTGGCATCAAGCACAAACAGAGTCTCACCACGGTTAAATAACTTATAATATTTATTATTATCATCCCTGGCTTTTGTCTCTATTCTTTAATAGGATATAATGCGATCGATGATTGGTCAATCGTGTTACAATAGTTACCTATCAGATTGCCTCACACAGACAAGACGAATCATATTTGAGGTATGAAACAAAAACCCAATCGAGTTAAATAATTAATTTTTATCCAAAGTTGCCTATGTATCTTATCGAAAACGTTTGTGAAGTTGATCTCTGACTATGTCAAGGTGAGAATTTTTATATGAATTTAAACGTCTAAGTACAACGTTTTATAATTGTTATTCTGATATGTAGTTTTTACGTCTCACTCACGCTTAAGATTTGTTTTATTGATGTCTCATTTCATTCAATATAATGTTAAAACAATCTCATCCGACTGTTTGACAAATGCGCGTTTAATATGTATCAGAAACATTAAAAGCGCAAACGCCAACAAAACATGTCAGCAGTCCCAATTTCTTCATTCATAGTCTAACAAAATTTCACGAAATAAGACTAGCAGCCCCAAGTCTTTATAATGCTATTGCTCAAAACCAATCGATTTCAAAAATTCCTCAAGCCAACATTCGTGAAGCTATCGAATTTATTAAAACCGCCGAGACAATTAGCAATTGGGAAACTGAATTCCGAGTTAATTGAACTCGTTGATCGAAAATTTTGAATAAAAATGGCTAAATTTGTTACAAGTGAGTCTCGAAATAACGACACTGCTATATAACGACATCTCGTTATACTGACAAAAATCCTAGAACAAAAAATCTATATAATGAAAGTTATTCGATGTAACGACATTTTTTGGTTATTGGAGAAATCTTAATGTATCGGTATTTAATATAATGACAGTCGTTATACGCAAATTTGAATCTCCTTTTTTCTCAACTGAAATTACTTATCCCGTTTTCGTTTACTTACGCATAAGAATTAATTCTTAATGACATTGACAAAACAGAAAAGGTAGGCAAAAAATTTATTATAGTGTTTTTATTATAATGCTTGATTTAGGTGTCTCCACGTTCGAGATTGACAAAAATAAATCTAAAAAAAAAGTCTTACCGGTATTCAAAAAAAATGACTCTGTCGGCGAGCGCGCGACACCAATAACAGCTGGCTAATAAATTCAAAATAGGGCGGTCCTCTGTCACTGAAATTCTATTAAAATCCGGTAGATGGCTCAATGTCGAAAACGATACAGTTATAGCAATATAAACGACAACGCACCATTATTTCCACAGATCGAAGACGCTTTGATTTGGCATTATGGTTCGATAATGCTATTGAATGTGGAATCTCCTATTCTTCAAGAAAAAGTGTTAGACTAAATGTACCAGATGCGCATCTATCGGAAGGCATAACATTTTTGAGGTTACCAGGTGATGTGCTAGCTGCTTCACCCGATTTGAACGTCTTCTAGAATACCGAATGCTAATTACAATAGATTCGACATTTATAATTGGGACGAAAACTGCCTTGTACTGGGACTTAATGCCATCCAAAGCTTCTGCTTATAGTAGGTTATCATCGTGTGCTAGCGGTGATAAACTTCCACCCCTGAATTTAATATTCCACGTACTCTAAAAGGAATCAGTAAAGAAAGTCTACCCGTTTATTACTATTGGAGCAAAAATGCTTGGATACCCGCTCCATTTCACCTGTCCAAAAGCATTTTCCAATAATTCCTACAGATCCACAATTGGAACTTAACAGTTACACATATGCGTTGTGATCTGTTATTAGTGTTAATAAATTCGTTAATGAAATTTAGCGTTTAGCCTTTCCACAGACTCATCTAAGCGCCGAATTATATTTCGTGTATACTTTACATCGGTTTCTTTTCTCTTAATGACGTTTATTTTATCTTCAAGTGACAGATTCTTCTTTGCTTTCTTTGTCTACTGTTACTGATGTTATCATTATCCATACTTTAATGATTAATTTTATTTTTTTAATATTGGAAAGGCTAAGCAACGCACACTCTCATATATATATATTTGAAAACTACGCTCTTGGCTTAAACGTCGTCTGGTTTATGACCTGATCGCTTTCAGCACGGTTTGATTTTTATGACAATTTGTGTAATACATACTCGTATAATATATAGTAAATTAGGAATATGACTTGTGCAATATTAGTATCGTATATAGTAAATAGGGCAAAATATTGGGGATAGGGATATATCTGAAGGGAACACAAACGAGGTAAATTTATATAGAAATACAATAGAGGAAATCCGTCCCGCTTCACAGGGGATATATCCGAGGTTGGGATATTAAAGGGTGGGGATACAAAAGAGGTATGACTGTATATATTTTGTCCGATTCAAGTTCGGGAATGTTTCAAATCAAGCGAATAACTTCTTTGTAGAATATCTGGTTGCATTATCTCATTCCACAACGACCTCAAGCTCAATACACTATAACTATTGATTGTTTCATTAAAGCGTATAAATTAAGCATCGAGCAGTTTATAGTGCGAATATTAATTAGTTATACACGTATAGCAGCCGAGTTAATATTATTAATGTCGAAGTATGTTATATTCTCGTTACTGATTCTCTGTATTATTCCGAATGGACATACAACAATAGTGCTTGTCGATGAGACATAATTTCATCTAACAATGTCACGTACTTGTAATAGTGAGGTCAACAACATGACAATGTTTGCGTCGCGTTAATAGGATATGGAATATTGGTTAGGTTATAATTAATTATTTTTCACCAGTTGGAATGTTCCGATTGTTAAGTTACAGTATGTTCCATAATGTCGAACTTTTTTTCCGAATATAAACAAAGCAATAAAAATAAAAATAGAATTGAATTAGAATAATTGAATACATTACATAACAAATAAATAAACATGCTTGCACAACAGATAACAAATTCTATAATAAGGTCGTCATTAGACAAAAACGTTAACCGCGCATGTAAAATGTATTCAGCATATTTGTCATTATATTCAATATCTGTCTTATATTGTGTGTTTTTTTAGTTGATGTATATCGTGAGACATTTTGCAACGATAGAGGATTTTGTAGTATAAATGCAATGTAATCAATGTTTTTATTAATACTGAGAAAAAAGTTAGAACTGGTATTGTCCGGTTTGGTTAATTAATTTAGCTTATGAGCGAATTGACTTTTATAAGATGTGAATTCTATTGTCCAATATGTTGTCCAATATGTCAGCGGGCGATAAAATTGGTGTAAACGCATGGCAATAGTAAGTTGATTGTTTTGTCGTATTAATATCAAGTATGACCAAGTATACAGTTAGACATCTATTAGAACAATATATTATATGTTATGTACTGTATGTATATATCGCCAGGGCCGCAAACATTATTAATGTGTTAATTTGGCATGAATACTCTAAGCTTTCACCTGTATATAAATTAGTCAAAATGCAAGAATGACGAAAATAATCGGTTAAACTGATATAACGTTCTCGTATTAGTATTAATGTTCCATCCAATTAGTATAGGTATATATATCACCGGAAAGGCAAGCAGATTTAATACTTTAAGCTTTTTCATGCTTAGTCTAAACACAGGAAATCTGGCTATGACGGACTGATCTGGCTAAATGTATTAGTATGGAATGACGAAAATCGGTTGATCTGGCTAAATTTATGAATGACGAAACTCAGTGATCATCTGATCCAATGAGTTACGAGTGGATCGACGCATAGAGATTTTCATTTCCATTTTAAACGCATGGAAATGACGAAATTGGTTGTCAGCTAACTGTATGTCAAGTTCAATACTACGACAAAGGTCGAGATTGGTATACCAATAAAACTGGTACAACGCTTGCTTCGTATTAATAGTCTACAACTAACTTTCCGCAATGACTGATTCATTTGGTTCACTATATAGTTATGATGGGTCGACGTCTTAGATTAATTAACTGTGAACAAAACGATTCAATTTATTGTACGTTGTGGACCTGACAAAATTATTGCCTTATTTTCTTTATTTTAATAACCCCAACACACTATTTAAGTGGTGGGTTTCCGACAAGTGTTTTGCAGTCAAAAGCATATAGCATAACTTTAAAATCGAAAGCCTTTTGGCGTTGACCATTGCCAAAAGGGAAATGTTCGCATTATGCAAGTAGATGCAATAGGCTGAGTCGAGGCACTAACGAAAAAAAATGCATGTTCAATCCTTTACAATATGCTAAATAGCGACTCACAATTATATTTTGTCGAGCTATTAAATTCCATAGGGAATTTCGAAATCGAAATCGGCAAATTCTAAAAAAAAGAAAAGAAATGAATGTTAAATTACATTACAGTTGTTTTTACATTGAGCCTCAACCGAGATTCTTACTTCTGGTTAAATCGGGCATTAATCGACTTGTGTAAATAGCCTGAGAATGTTGGGTTTCTTCTAGATTTTCACTTTCCGTATTTATACTAGATTGACGAAGTTCTTCGGCATTCGCGATCTGATCTTCAATTTCTTCCGTGGGTTCACAACACCATTCGGTGGTCAAGTCGTATATTTCTTCGGCAGTCGGTCGATTCTTAAGATTGCTATCCCAGCATTTCCGCATCAAATCACAATAAAACTGCGGCATGTCTTTGGTAATTTGTGGACGAAGACCATTATGTATTTGAAAAGCCAATGATACATTATGAGGAATATTATGGAAAGGCTTTTTTCCAGTGCCAATTTCCCACATTAGCATGCCAAATGCGTAAACGTCTGTTGCCGTTGAGTATTTTCCACCATCAAATAGTTCTGGTGCTACATAAGGCATTACTCCCATAACCTCTTCAATGTCATTCGCTTCTGATTGTGGAATGCAAAGTCCCAAGTCATGAATGTTAATATAATCCAAACTATCAGTGGCTCGGAGTACATTTCCAGGATGAAGATCTCTATAACAAAAAGACAGTATGTTTACATTAATGTCTATGAATTAAACCATAATAATAACGTAATAATAAAATTATTATTTACCTATGGATTAGTCCTGCTTCGTGGATAGTACACATATCACGAGCAATCTGATCAATTATTATTAACTTATCGCTCCAAGTATGCTCTTCACATAGAGTTTTGCGTATGTCACCTCTACTACAAAATTCTATAACAAAGTAATATTGACCAGTCCTTTCATTTTTTGTAAACCCTTGAAGTATCGGTGAAAACCAATCAGGTGATTTATAAGCCCAGCGTTGCAGTCTCTTGGCCTAGATTGAGACAATAATTAATATACGCCGGCATTTGTTGTCTTTGAAAACACCGAGTAATATAGCAAGCAGGATTAGGATTGCAACACACCACTGTCTAATTACCTCGTCAAGGAAATTCTTTGGCAGATGTTGAGGATATCCAAGCGTTTTTAGTGCAACAAATTCCCTATATAAAGGCAGTTCTGGACTATCACTTTTTTCGTAACGAAGCCATCTATTGTTTTGTTTATCCCATCCTTTGATTCTTTGTATTCCAGTGTTGGCACGAAAAACAGTTCCATAGCCGCCTTTCCCTATTTTTTCAATATTCGAAAAAGTTTTGTATGGCCACCACTCTAACACTGTAACAGAAGTCATTGCATATATTTGAGAATTTTGAATAAAGTAATCAATCTCTTTGTTCCCAGACGTCCAAGCGGAAAACGCTTGACGAAAACGAACGTCGTTGCAAGATTTGCACCAGTCTTGTCCATAATCGTTACAATCTGGACATTGGCCGAATGTTTCGAGTTTCTCCTCGTCCGTTTTATATATATCAATCAAGACGTTGTCGATGTAATCCTGACGGGCAGTTTCTTCATCGATATCTTCAGCAAGAGGCTATTGGTTAAGCTACTTTTGTGAATAGATTTGGACTAGAAATTCAATTAATGGGCATGATTTATGTCCTTACCTTTTCTCCTTTAGTTGACATGTCGGAGAAATAACGATGACATGCATGGAACTAACTGAATCTTATTAAGAAGCTGAATGGTTCAACCGTTAGGTGTTGCGACATTCTGATAAACACAGAAAAGCTAACATATTGTAGTTCCTATCGTTAGGCTTGAAACATGTTACAAACGTTGCTCGTACTCTATTAAATATTATGCATGTACTAATAAAAAGACGCATACTGATAGAATTTGTGTCAACGCTCTAGTGCGACAATTATTGTTTGTTACCGTATATTGAGTCACTGTAATTAACTCTTAGCGTATGCAGCTATTCTTGTTTCGATGTTTATACTACGACGAAATAGTTCCTGATCTTTTTCTATATCAAATTCCAAGGTAAGGGCGCAAAATCTCTTATTCACATTATAATTATAATAATACCGATCTTGAGCAGCTTCATAAATGTGCCGCCTGGCCGATAAAGCCATTCAATTACTACTTTTTGGATTTTTTTTAGCTGAATTAATACGTTTTTTCCATAGACGGTATGTTCGCTGGATAATAGTTACTGCTCGATTTTTTTCGTACAAAAATATACTATTTGGATTTTAAATTCCCTAAATTTAGAATTATAACCCATATTAATATATTTGTCGTGCATAAACTGTTTTTAATACGAAATACAAAATTTTGCCAACCATCCTTATTAGTAATATCATATGTATTAACAAACGTATTTGGGTGGATGATATTTTGCGAATCGTAACCACGATTCCGGTGTTTTCAAATTTTGAATATGGGCCGTTGCAAAAAGATTGGTACCTCACCCAAAGGGAAATGATTTACTTCAAGACAAATACTGTGCGACCAAAGCAAGGTGGGCCGAAAAAAAATATACAGTGTGTAACGAAAATAATTGCCTTCGGAACAATCGAAATTATTTTGTAAATAAACAAAGCGATGCGTTGTTTATTATGGTCCACGTATTTTTATCAGCCTGTTTATGTCTCGTTGAAGATATTTACCAAAGAAAAGGTTTTGTTGACTTCTGCTTTAATTTTCGAGAACTTTATAAACTATGTTACACAAGTATGAAGGTTGAAATTCACAAAGTTTTACTTTACTTTCAGATTATTATTATACCCCAACAACGTTTATTCGTCAAATAAAATTACATCCAAAAATGAGTGTTTCTCTTTGTTTCATTGTAAACAATCTCAAAAGCCAAAAGATACGAACGGTTTAGAGCATGACAGGAAAACTCTGTTTGATTAAAAGTTTTATATGTAACATACCAAAGAATAAACCGTGGGAGAAACAAAGATTATCTTGTAATAAACCGACTGTTTTATGTAAAAATATTACAAATTCAACGGATGGCTACTATGTAAAGCATTTACAGTGAAATTTGCATCTGCATTATTAATTGGGAATAGGAGGATATTTCTCAGAAAATTTCGGAAAAATAATAATAAATTTTTGTGTGCAACAAAAAACTGATACAAGCAAGTATAACGAGGAAATGATAATAAGATTATGTATTAAAATTTTTTATATCAAGTAAGTACCTAATACGCTATCTAACAAGACTGTTTGCTTTTAATTATTCCTTGTAATTGTTGAGTTATGGTATTTTTTGTGATGGCAATTATTTTGTTACACACTGTATATTAAAACGACTTTAAATAAACATTTTTTTCTAATATTATCTTACCCTACCATGAATATTTTCTCTACAAAACGGAGTGGTACACCATTAACTGATAATGAAAAGTTGATAATTATTAACGTTTACAATTATTTTTCGGGTGGCTAACTCTAAAAAGGAGGATCATCAGAAGGTCACACTACGCAAGCGTATTGCTGAGGTGTTGGGCGTAAGGGAAAGTACAGTTGGGAGGGTGGTGTCCCATTTGCTTGTGTTAAAATTGCAGAACAGTATGAACATGAAGTTAATTTTACCTCCCTACCATTGCGAACTGCAACCTATTGAAGGTATTTTGTCAGTTGTGAAGGGTGAAGTTGCACGCTCAGGTCCACATACAAACCTTTTATCTGTTAGAAATACACTACTAAATGCATTTAAAGAAAAAATTTCTTCAAAAGTTATTGTAGGACTTTGGAGAAGAGCACTTAAAAATGCCAAGGAATATTTTGAGTCTGACGAAAACATACAATTTATTGATGACGAATTTGATGCTTATAGTAGTTCCGACGATAATCACGTAATTTAAGGTAATATTTATATCGTATCTTTCCCAATATTAATATATACTGATAATATTTATTAAATAAAAAAAGAAATTACATAATAAAATTTTTTTTATCGATGCAATATCTGAGGTACCAATCTTTTGCAACGACCCATACCACCTATCGTGAATAAGGGCCGTAATGTTATGAAATAGCTTGGCCCCTCACCCCCCTATCACATCAACAATTGACGTCATATATTACTTTATTTATATGAAATATAGTTCGTAATTATGTAATAAATACAGATAACGTAGACAATTGTTACGTGACGATTCGTAGATCATTTTAAACATCTCATGAATAAGAGCCCCCTTTATATGATGAAGGTGGAGTTTTGCGTTCCTTTATTAGTTGTACCTACGATTGAACGCTAAAGGTGCTCTATATGATGAAGGTGGGCCCTCATTGAGAAAACACGGTATACTGTAAACCACATTCAGTTAACCCGTTTCGGGCAACCCCATTCCCTTATAATATCTTGAATATTGGTCAAGTCTACTAAGCAAACGTGTGGATTTTAATAAAGACTTTTTATTTAATTGTTGGCTAGCTTTGGCTTTTTCCTTGGCTGACGATGCAAACACGATCTCATCGTGCTTGAATGACGACACAATCGCAAACTCGTCGTCACTTGGTCAATAACGATTTTTTTTTTCCCAGCTAACTCTGCCAGCTAACTCTGCCAGCTAACTCTGCCAGCTAACTCTGCGAGCCAACTCCTGCAATGACGACGCAAACATAATCCCACCATACTCCAATAACTGGGATGGTTGTAATCCGGTCAAAAAACTATTTCCAAAAGAGCTTAGGAGCATTAAAATGACACGGGATTGTTATAGTCCATCCTAAGTGGTATTCTGAAATTTTTCATATCTAACTTGATCTTTGCTCTATTACACAATGCTTGATAATTTGTGGGATCAGTTTGTAAGGAGTCCCGTCTCAAAGATATCTTTTTCTGACCTTAGCGTTTTTATAGCATCTACAGTGTCATTACTTTCTGCTTGTTCAACAGTTTGGAAACAGCTGCGTCTTAGCAATAGAACGTATTTCAGCTGCAAGTTCTGTTTGCGTAAGTTTACTCCGCGTACTTTTTCTCCATTGATATAACTCTAACAAACTTCATCTTTTTTGCTTAGACGCCGCCGATCCTTACTTCACGATTTTGCCGTGCTGTTGTCTTATTGCTTATAAAAATATCCATTTGAACCGTTAATGTTAATGTTAATGTTAATGTTAATGTTAATGTTAATGTTATTACATACTCTTTGAACAACAGCTTTTCAACAACCAGCAATTGAGAGCCACTAAACATATGTGCTTTCTTGTGTCAACCTGCTTAATTAGGCCCCACAAGACAATATTACCCCACCACTGGATACTGAGTGATATGAAACTGAGATTTAATATCGAAGTGAAATTGATGTACTTGAGAATTATCTCCGCTCATTCTACCGTTTGAGAGAAAGCGCACAATTTTGATCGCTAGGCAATTTACCATGCCAGGAAATAATTATGATACTCTTACAAGTATTCTGAGTCTATGGTGAAATACTGTCTTTCAGAGTTGGAATTCTACCGTCGAGGATAATATATTCAATGTTACGCAGAGTAGTATTATTATTACCAAGCTAGGTCAGAAACAGAGTAAACGAATAATATATGATGCTACGCAAAATATGAACTATTCACCACTCGACCCGATTATGCGTTTACCACCTCACCGAAGAATCATATTTCGGGAGATTGTGTCTAGGATTAATATCTATGATAGGAGTACGAGATGGCATACTAAATGCAAGAGCATTAATTATGGAAGACATAATAAAGTAATATCGACTATGTGTGATATTTCAGACATGTCCCTGTAAATAAGCTGTTCTAACCTAACCGTAAACAAATAAATTTAAACCCAATTTTTGTTGAGAAATTACTTTTACAACGGGGGAATACGTGAGTAGTCGTCCCAAGTAGGTTATACAAGAACTATAACTCAATATTTAAATCCGAGACTATTTCTGATAATTACATGTAATTTGCAAAAAATATCACGAAAAAATTTCAAAGCAGTTGGCAAACCACCTTATTTCTGATAAAACTGCTTTCAGCTATTCAGAAACACAATAACTTATTGGTGTGATCAGGGAATTATAGCATTATCTGGTATATGACATAAGAGTAAGATAGAATTCCAATAGCATTCTAATTAACTGTATCAGATCAATGAGAAGGAGATGAGAGACAATAATGAAGAGAATGGAGTATTAAATTTATATTTAGCTTTTGGGCTTTGTTTTTTGTCCCGTTTTATGCAGTAGTTATGAGCAACCGAGTAGATAAAAAATCCATTACACTTCATTGACACACACAGTACTTTGATGTTTTTTAATATATAAATGCCCAGTTTTATTATAACAATAATAAAATTGTTTCTACATTATTGAATTTTTTTGTTGGCCTTTTATATTGAACCTGCATTAATTACTGCTTAATCTCATCCATATTTTTCTATTGGGGGACTTTAAGCTGGCCCGTATCCTGGATATACAAACTTTCCAGCAACAAATAACTGACTGGCTGACTTCCTAGTATACAAATACAGTGGACCTAATATTAATATTGGTATCCCTTGTTCAGCATCAATACAAACTGAACGTACTGTTAATAGTTAAAGAACTAATATATCTTCCATTCGTTTTAGACTGTTTGTAACACATTCTTCGTTATCACCCGTCTTGACTTTCTGCCAAATATTCTCTGTGAGAATTGTAGTGTTGATCAACTTCGCTTCCGTTGTTTGGTTTAGGTTTGCAAAATCAATGACGTTACTATTAGTATTAGGGCATGTTTCCCAGGCGTTTGGTTCGTGTAACAAAACACACTCACTTACACTCGTCCACCATCAAAATACAGCTTTTTGAAAACCAGACAGAGATCGCTAATGTCCGCTAACCCTGCACATGTCGCAACAACCTTTTCAAGCGTGGCAGAACCAACCATGGAATTACCAACAGCCACCATCACAGCAGCAACAGCAGCCATCTCAGCACCAGACAGCGCTCAACTTGATGCAATCGCCAACTGATATCTATATTCCAACACAATTCGACAGACAGTTAGCGTACCCAATGCAATTTACAAATCCACAACAAGTGCAACAATCGTATATGAATGGTTTAAACCCTGTTCTATATCAACGAGTGCCTACGAATACTATTCAGCAGCATTTGTCGAGTAGTATTCCACTCACGCAGCAAGATCTGTTTATACAACCACAGTCCCAACAGTCTTCGACACAGCAACTAGCACAAACACTAACACCACAACAACTAACACAGCAACAGCTATCACAACAGCAAATACTAGCACATCCACTACAAAGGCAAAATGTACCTTCCTCATTTCTTAATCAAAACCAACTAACTCCACAGCAACAGCATCAGAGCCAACAGCCACATAATCAACATCAACGACAGCAACAACAGTTATCTCAAATACTCACACATCAGCTGATGTCACCTCCTGCGAGTGTCACATCACTTCAATCGCATAGCTTATATCATGTAAACAAAATTAATCAAAATCAACAACAAATACAACACCAACAAATACAACGACAACAACAACAACAGCAACAACAGCAACAACAACAAATACAGCAGCAACAAATGCAGCAACAACACATACAGCAGCAACAGCAAGCACCGCAACATTTTACTGTACAGAGATTATATGAGCGCGAGCTAGTGCAACAAAATTCCGATCAAAGTACGCCCAAAAGTGGTCAGGCAGAACAATCAGAATATATCCAACCGCAAATCAGTCCAAACGTAAGCGATCAGATGGTTATGAGACATGTGTTTCCGGGAGCTCATATGCATACGCAGGTTCACGTACCAACACAGACGGTTCCTAATCAACCCCTTTTGAAACACCCCATTAAAAGCGAAACCGTTTCAACTTTGTCTCAATCACAAGGAAATGTTGAGCAAGGAACACAACCGCTAATCGCGTTTCATCAATCCACGCTTCCACAATCTCCTCAGTTGAGTACTGCTAAAAAGTCACCCCAGTCTCCAGTAAAGGTACATCAAAGAGCTCAAATCCAGGTTCCTCAGCAGCTTTATTCTCAAGGACAAACTACACACGTACCTGTTCCATCGCAAGTCCAACCTCAAGTACGTCCTGCTCATATCCCTCATCAAATTCAAGGACAAGTTGGACATGTCCATCACCAGCCCCAGATTCAAACTCAAAGACAATCCACGCATGTAACTCAGCAACGAGGCCGCAAATTGTCAAAATCTCAAACGCCACAACCACAGCCTTCCAACTTTGTTTTTCACCGTCCTCCATCTCCATCTTCCCCATCTCCATCGCTGCCGTCATTACCGTCACCACCTCTGTCTCATAATGTCCTTTGGTATTTATCTGAACACTATCTCCAAACCCTCCCCACGCTTTCCCCGCACTCTTCTCTTGCATCCTATCTTAAATTAACCCCTCAGCAACAAGAATGCGTTCTCAAGGCTATCAAGTGCTTGACACTTGTACTCGCATGTAAAAAAAATGATCGAAAATATTCACCAGAAGTTGAAGCTAGGACACGATTTAGATTAAGTGAGATATTGTTTATGTACACGGATAATACGGCAGATGCTAAACAACATTTAGAAAATGCTGTAAGTGAGATTGAGGGAGGGGTGGTTGTTTCGAGTTTTTTTTTCCCCGTCTGTTCACATTATACGTATATTCAAATTGTAATCCACGTATTTCGCTCTTTTTTTTTTCAGTTGACTATAGTCCAAAAGGTAAGTAAATCTTTCAGAATCGTTATCCCACTTTCTCTTCAACTGTATAACCAACAGTAATTTACCTTCCCTCATATTTTGTCTATAAGCTTGATAATCTGGTTAATCTGAAGTTCCAAATGCTGGAGCTTCGATGTCGAATGTTAAACTCAAATAATAATATCAAGGAAGCTACGGATATTCTTGAACTAGCGTTTACGGAGGCAGTAGAGTAAGTTTGTTGATGGGCGAGTGGAGTGAGACCTGTTTATTCGGTGTTTTATGTCTTGGCCTATAAGCATTAATTACTAATAACAATTTTCCTACTAATTTTGTCTGTACAGACATAATATGCCCAATTGGATGTACCAATTCTTACTCTTACGTGCCAGTTACTTCAATTCGGTCCGAGACTTGTCTTCCTGTACGTCGGTGTTAGATCAAGCTGAACTTATAGCTAACCAACGAGGTGATATTGACATGAAAGCCTGCATCCTAATTTCCAAATCCCAGTACGCTCTCGCACAGCCCACACTTCAATCGCTCGCTGTTGTTCGAACCTGTCTTTCCTCTCTCGCTTCGGCATGTTTTCCCCGTTCAGCAGCACAGTCACAGCCATATAATGGGGTCATAAACAAGCAGTTACATCTGCAATATTTTTTGTTGTATATTGTGTATAATATGCACATTGGGAACGTTAAGGCGGCGATGGAGCGATTGAGTGAAGTGCATCAAGTTTTAGATGCGAAAGACGACGATGAGAGCGATGATGAATTAAACGGGTATACTATTGTAAGTAGGGGGGATGGGATGTAATGAGAATATTAGGATAGAATTAAATAGACGCTTCTGCGTTAGTCTTATGCTACACAGTATAAAAAAGCTCCAAGAGATTAGTATACGTGAGTTACCATACTAATCGGATCATTTATTGCAGGTACAAATATCGGCTGCCCCAATCGCTAGTGGTCCGACAACGGCTTCTGATTCATCGAGAGCAACAATGCCAGTAGTTATACGATGGTTATCAAGAAAGGAAATGTATTCGTTGACGTTCTTGATATCTGGATTGTGTAATAGAGGTGATACGAGTAATCTCAAGGCAACAGCATTCTTAACAGAAGGATTGAAGATTGTTCAGAGTAAATATAAAGATACTATCGTTGTGGTTGTTTTACGAGTTCGAGCGTTAGAGGGTTATTGCAATTAAATTTTCGTTGAACACATTCATCTAATCAATCGTCCATTTGTTTCCGATATCAGAGGAGATTGAGTCAGAGGAAGGTGAGTCAAGTATATATGGAGTTGACTTGCTTTATTGTCTATTTTGTTAATTTACATTGCATAACTTTTTCAATCTTCACTATTATTAGAAAGCCAGTTACCTCTTCATGATGTGATAAGAGTGAAGACTTTCTTTGTGAAGCTGAAGACATATATTTTATTACATCTAGTCGATGTTTATATGTTAAGATCTGATTACGATGAAGCAGAGAAGGTAGGTTTAAATTTAAATGTTTTTGAAAGCGGTTTTAATACTACTAGCTAGTCATCTTTATTTAATCGAGATATACTATCTTAATAGCAACTAGCATCTCTATTCGACTGGGCGTCAAAATATGGTCTATGGTCTCATATTCAAGTGTCTGCCACACTTGCATTGGGAATGATAAATCAATGTGTTGGCAAGTTTAGCGATGCGTGGGATTACTACCGTACAGTTGAGAAGGTAAATAATGAACTGATGACGCAAAACAAGAATTCAAACGTAACTTACGCCTGCTATAATGTGCCGCTTCTAGACAGCCGAATCGGCATATGTCAAAACGCTCGCCAAAATTAATAGATTCTTAATATTATTTGGTAATTCTAATCACGATGATGAACAGCAGCAACAACAGGTGTGTTTAATAATATGCAGCGTGATGTTTAAACAATACACTCTCGCTCATTTAACGTTATTATTATGCATTAGATAAATTTTCTGCTTAACGAAATAAGACAACTAGTGACAAAAGAACTCAGCAATATTGATGGGTTGAAGGCAATACTACAATTATTCGAAGCATTGGTTACTAAAGAACAGGACAGGGCCAAGTAAGAAGAGGGTTAATAGGGGTTATACGAGGAGTTACTGTGACGACAATGATTGATAACATTTGTTTTCATATTACAGGGAACGTCTATATGAAGCATTGAAACTTTCTAAATCGCTGTGTAATAATCAATTACAAGCAATAACGCTCACAGTCTTAGGGCCATTGCTATACAAAGCGCAGAACATTCAAGCAGAAAAGACACTGGCTGCTGCATATACGCTAAGCAAGCATGTAGGAAACAATGTACAGAGTCTCATATCAGGGCGACTATTGACAGGTAAATAACGGTAATATTACTACCATATAGTTTTTGCCATGGCGCTGCTAAACTCATGAATATCTATTATTTTCTCTCTCTTATCTTGTTCAGATATCTATGTTCATCAAGGTCATCAACAGCGATACTCTAAACAACTCTCGCTAAATCAACAACACGAACGCGCTATTAATAATCTCATTAATAACTGGAATACGAAACATAAAGCCGTGTTAGACTTGGTCAATAGCAACAGCAGCAGCGGCAGCAATGATAATGCTACTACTGTGGATGTCCCCAATGGGGCTGCTATTACAAATAGTACTAATGCTGTTTCTGATACAAATCAGAAACGGCTTGTAAATGAAAGTAACCGAGGAGTTGATGTTAGAAGTGGAGTTTATGAAACATTACGGAGTGATGGAATATATTAGCATCGATGTGTATGTATTATTAAAGATTCTTGTATTTATAGAATATATTAGAGGAACTATAACTGACATTACATGAAATACATGATATTGAAGATATATGCTTTTGTAGAAAAAAAATGGGTGTGTGCGCGTGTGAAGAAAGAGGATTAACGATGTGAGAGGGACGGTATATATATATATTTAATCTAAGAGGAGAAACTAACTGTAAATTGGTTTATTCAGTAGGTTAAAGTAGATGTTGAGAGGATTAGTTGAATAGATGCACGTGTATGGATACACAGAATGATGCATGTAAATTGTACATTATTCATCTAAACTAATAATAATATCAATAATGCTAACTAAAAAATGTCAGTGTTGCCCATTACCATTATCGTGGAATACAAAAGTTGAGACATTGAAACCAAATAGCACAATACCATAACAGCTCTGACACATTTACAAGAAATATAACACGTTCTCCTATTCAACAGTAATGATCTCTCGTTAGCGCGCATACCTATCGTTAACACAAGCATAAACCCACGTACGGCTTACCAGTCTCTCAGAAGCCATGGGTCTCGAACTCTCTCTATCATTCTCGGGTGCAGCATCAAATACGTTGAAAAATCTCTCTCCATTGACGCCGACTTCTAGTATAGACGCCATATTACCACATCTATAACAGTAGTTGGGAGCAGACCAGACCGTTGATAGACGGTCATCGTAGAGAACCTGAACGCGTAGTGCGGCAGGAATGATTATAGAGACTTGTGTAGTGCCATGAAGACAAGTTGATTACACGTACTTGATATCCTTCCATACAAAGTTGATGAGCACGTAGTATATGCGACATGCCGTTTATGTGGAGAAATTTCTTTACTACTTCACCACCGAAAGTGTAGCCTGCTCCTCTGCATAATAGCCAAGTTAATTAAATATGATACAACCAGTTAAATAAAACCTGTGGCGCAATACCTTGGTGATATTGCAAATTCATCTTTATCCTGGTCTGGATCAGACCATACAAGATCAGCCATTGGACCTTCATGCGGGATTTCTACATGTTAAGATGGAAGTAGTAAGACCGGGAATTATATACATGAAAAATTCCGATAACTTCGAGAGATACAAGCTGCATAGACATACCTCTGAATCTGTCCAGTGTCTTTATTTGATCAATGCTGTGTATTGAAGGTGAGAGACCTGTGTAAAATTAGAATAAACGTCAATGTAAGTTTTGGAACGATTATCATCGTCACTAGACGATAATCATATTTAGATAGCTCATGGATTCCCCCTTCACCTCCATGCACGCAGAATATCTTATCATCAATAACAACAGACAATGTTAAATAATCAAACATGTCTGTGAAATAATGCCAGACATTTGTATTTCCATACTTTCTAACGCATTCGGTATAGAATCCATATGTCTGTAAGTAAGAGTAAGTTGCAAGTGTGTTAATGCGGTTCCATCATGGTCTACTGCAACATTGCCCATGGCCCTCACCTGAGTAACAGCACGCGACTCGTGATTACCTCTAACAAGCTGTACTCTTTCTGGGTATCTCAGCTTCAAACACGTCAACAGAGATATAGTCTCGATACTAAACAACCCTCTATCAACATAATCACCTAACAAATTACAAACGTATTGTGAGTAAAACATTCTCTCTGCTAGCATAAAAAGGGATTTGCAGAATTTATTTTAGGTAGTAGAAAAAAAAAAAGGTAAATACCTAGAAAGAGATAATTCGTGTATGGACAGTATCCGCCTATACGAAATATCTCGATCAAATCATAAAACTGCCTGCATGCAAGAAAAAGAAAAGAAAAAGGTAAGATCAAACTGAACGCGTCTTCAAAGTATACACTCATTCCCACTAGAATCAACCCGCTCACTCTTTTTACCCATGGATATCACCAACCACAGTCACAGGAGCTGATATATGGATTACATTACTCTCGCGCATTAGTAACTCTTTGGTTTTCTCACAAATCTCTTTTATTAGAGATTCGGCGAGGAGCTGTTTCTGCAAGAGTTGGGAAATACAAGCGTCGAGATCTAGACCCATGGCAGCAGTGAAGGGTGAGGGGCGAGAGCTAAATCTTGTCAGGTCTGGAAAGGAAAGATTACAATACTAATACAAAGAAAGCAGAAAGATGTTGACCACGTGATTTTGAAGTAAACCCGATCCCGTGACGTGAGTTACACTACATTGTCTGACTAAAGCACTTTTACGTTCATACTGATACCGCAATTCTGATGTTCCTGATCGATAGGCAAGAGTTAAAGTTCACCCAGTACTTTGGGCAGAAGAAAGGTCAGATATTTATTCGTATACAGTAACATCCCAGATTTAGCTCATCACCTTTATAAGCTTTTTTCTTGGTGATGGATGACAATCCGTAAGCTCCAGGCCAGGCGTTTGACGTTCCTTCTTGCCATTCTTATATAAGAATACAATAGCAAGTATTACGGGGATTAACCTTTGCGTATAAAATCGTTACAATTGTGTCCAGCGATTTGGGAATTCAGCATGTACTGTGTTTCCCCGTGGCTCATCTCTTTGGGTAACCTTTATAATGACTGTCCTGAAATATAGCCGTGATGTGGGTCAAGAGAAGAAGAAACTAACCAGCACGCATGCACGTATAACCCCATCTTCCGGATTTTATTGCCAGTACTATTCAGCTTCCGGGGAGGCTGAACCCGCTGCTTTAAGCCAGCCTTGGATGCCTCATAGATGTAACGGTGACTTCCCCGCTATGGTTATGCAGACACGATATTAGGAATAAAGAATAAATATCAATTAGATAAGCATACTGTACATGTAAAAATTTGAGCCACTTCACATAATAATAATAATAATAATAATCGTAATGAACGCTTGGATTATAGTTTTAATGTGGCGTTCATGGCGTATTTCTGTGTCGATGTCTAAATTTTTAATGCGTATAGAACCGGTTTTCAAGTCATACTTTTCTTTTCCAATTTTGGCAAATGCGCCAATCAAATTTATCAAACCTGGTAGATTTCTCTTCTGAAGTGAAGAATATTTGCAGCGCTTTCTTAACGCGTACATAACGTCTTCTACGTATTTCCTGTTCACTAGCCTCCACTTCTTGAGCATCAATTTGTACCTATACATAGACAGTTATTTATACTAAGTTTTTATCTTAGAACATAAATAGCGTTCCGAAAACAACGCCCGGTTTAGTTTTGTAAATTAGAGTATTAGACAAATATGATCAGGAAAGTATGTACAGCCTGGCAAGAAGTAGTGTGGTTTAGGACAGTCGTCTTGGCTCACATGTTCACTTTCCCCGTTCCAGTAGTCAAAATGAGAGTAAATATTTATGCCTTTAATGGCACACACTATACTTGTCAATGTAATAAAGTTTCGATTGTCTTTTTTACCAGTCTATCTACTATTGCTAATTGACACCTACATACAAAAGCGCGTAGGCTTCACAAACAAACAAATAAATGGTTATGCTAACATTTGCATCGGGATTTAAATTCAATAGAACACTGATGTAGAAAAAAAATTGCCCACGATTGGAGGAAATTCCTGATACAGTTTTAATTAATCTGTGAAAACGCGTGGCTAAGTTTTTATTGCAAAAAGACGGTGAATACCGTATTAATTTATTTTAAATGTTCCGACGTTTCAAATGAGCTGTTTTGCAATTATTGCTCTCCAGCGTCTAATTTTATTTATAAATCAAGACAGATTCCTTTTTACATTTTGAATTTACAGTATCGGACTGTCGGTAAAGCGGGTGAATATGCTCGAAAAGGAAAGAATATGATTAGCTTGCTCACTCTATGGATACCGAATTATTAATCAAGCAGATGTCCGAACGAGTTGCACACAAGTAAGCTAATCTTCAAACAGGGCTACCAGTAATGTGTGCCAAGTCTGTCCACAAAGATTTAGCCACTAAATAAAGATCGCAATGAATGTTACGCTTGTCACTATGTTGATATTAAATTTCTCGTGCAACAGTGGCCAATTTTCGGGCAATAAAGGGGAATCCCAGAAAAACTTTTCAGTATCTGTAAATGTTGCCTTTTATGGCGTAATGTCCAACCCGTGATCAAGGAGACTGGTAGTATTTATACTGATTAAGTTCACCATTAAGGTTTTGATCCCGAATGTCCGTTCTAAGAATGTTTCGATAAATTTTGGGATAATCACTTGTATTACATATGATATCTATCTATCGGTCAATCGGTCAGCAAGTATGTGTATGATATGTATACAACCTTTTTAGCATCACAATCGCTGTTGCTGTGCTTGTTTTACATATAGTCACATTACCCGACACCAACCATAAAAATGTATAATTGTGACCAAAAGACAACCATTGACGATTACGTATTTATATATGCGTATACATATACATACAGTGAAAAAAAAACTGCGTTGTCGATGAGCACTGTAATCACACGTGTGGCTGCTCTTGTAGATAATGAAATGGCGAGACGATGATGGTGATGGTGATGGTGATGATGATGGCGATGATGGTGATGATGTTCAAGGTCGTCAATGATGGGCGTGTGTGTTTCAACCGCTTCAACCGCTTCAACCGTTTCAACCTTGTAAACATACACTGCTTATTCTTTGTCTTGGACAAAGACGTATTATTATTATTATTGTAATGTCCTTGCAATCGTAATCATTCAAATTTAAACCTGGAATGTGTTGATATTCCCGAATGTACTATCATCAAGTACTCTGACCATCCCTTTTTCAATTGCTTGATCTCCATATTGGTTTGTTTCAGTCTAGCCATGTAGTAACAATGCAGAATGGTTGCATCCGAAACTTCATTGTCGATAATCACGTGAGATACTAGAAGCTATGGCAGCTAATAATAAGTTAATAATAGAAATAATAGAACTAATAATAATGTAAATAACCGAACAACTAACAATCATCCCACATGTTTCCAAATTCGACCCTCACCTTATAACACACCCCCCACCCCCGATCCTCCCCATTCACTTGGTCTCCTATCTTGTGTTCCCAAAACTATCTCGTATTTCACTATTCGTCTTTTTGCTTGTTCAGCCCCATTGGCTTTTTTTTCCGCAATCTATTACTTCTGGTATAGCAAACAAATACACACTCCCATACTCGTTTCTGGAGACTTTTATTTCCTCCCCGACTCACTAAACAAAAAACATGTCTCCACAACCGGAGCAAACGCCGTCTATTCGTATAGTACCCCACGTGGAGGGTCCTCGCTCGTTGCAATTTGACATCATCGAACGAGAGGTGCCCGACGGTACAAACATTAAAATAGGAAGGTTTACTGATAAAGCCAATTTACCCAATAGAGTAACATTCAAGAGTAAAGTAGTTTCCAGAGGACACGCAGAAATATGGAGCGAAAGTGGAAAGGTTGGTTGTTAATGAACTTGCTAGTCATAGGCACAAGTATAGAAGGGTTTGGTGGTCATCTGTGTGGGGCCCAAGGAGAGGAAAACTAGCTGAGGCCGATGTGCATACTGGAATATGTGAGGAGAAGCCAGTTGCTATAACCAATACAATATTGTGAACATAACTTAGGCAAATATTTCGTAATATTTCGTAATATTATAATATTATGCTATATATGTATAGCTATACACAATAAGCAATATCGTTGTGAAAAACATTGCTTATGCCAAAAACATCTCAACGCATACCATTAACTGTATATATATTTTTTCTAGTTTCTTATTAGAGACACAAAATCGTCCTCGGGTACTTTCCTTAATCGTTCGCGTCTTTCAGCACCTGGTCAAGAGAGCAAACCATACCCATTGAAAGATGGAGATATTGTTCAGCTTGGAGTTGATTATCAAGGCGGAACAGAAGGTAGGTGAATCAGCGAAAATAGTGTGATAAAGAATATATACACTCGTTGGTACCGGGTAGGGTGTGACACGTCTCGAATATTTTGATGTATCTAAACTGTGTCATTTGCTTGAATAGAAATATATCGATGTGTGAAGATGCGTATAGAATTAAATCGATCGTGGCAACACAAAGTTAATGAATTCAGGTAAGCAGTGGTTGTCAGGAAGCAAGGGTATGGTGGTGGGAATGAATAAGAATGTTATAGAGAATGAAGGAGAGAGGATGAAAAAATGTTATTTATTCGTAGAACCGGTGCATTATAATAATACCGTAGTGTTAATTCTTACACATTATCGTGTTCATATCGAGTTGCACTAATCATACGCTTACACATTCACTCTTTATCAGTATCAATGCAATGAAACAACTCAAAGCCCTAACTGGCCCGGATGCCTTCAAACACCAAACACAAGACTGCTGCATTTGTCTATGCGGCATCGGCCCATGTCAAGCACTCTTCCTCGCTCCATGCTCACACGTATTCCATTACAAATGTATACGGCCTCTTTTGTCGAACCATCCCGCATTTCTATGTCCTCTATGTCGAAGCTACGCTAATCTAGACGCTGCTATTGACAACTCGGTAGACTGGGAACAAGTCTTGGCAGAGCATGATGAGGACTCGAAGAAATTGGGTGAATCAAAAGATGAAGATAATCAAAAAAGTGAAGAAAAGATAGAAGAGACAGAATCGACAAATTCAGGATCTAATTCTGGGATTCTTTCTTTTGACTCTATCACAATTAATGGCAAAAGACTGAGTGAATTAACCGGACCCGAGCGAACGGAACTATTCAAAATATTACAAAATCCAGACACTTCTTCACAAAAACTTATAAACACTACAAACGCCACAGAATCAAGCTCCACACCGACGCATCCAATATCATCCGCATCATACTCAACCTCGACTTCAACAACGCAAGCCGTTCCGATTCCTTTCCGCCGTCAAACCGCATCATGTTTACCCGACGAAGATCCAAATCTCCTCCTAAGTCGCACGCTTCCGTCATCGCCGATGCAATCAGTACTAAGTTATTATGAGGATGATTGCGGTCCATCTGCTACCGCCCCCTCTCTTCGCGAACAGCAAAGCTCTCTGCGGTTAGACGAAATTGCCGAAGAGGACGAGGACGGTATCAATTCGTTCTCATTTCGGGGAGGAAATGTTCGATCGGAAGGAAGTGGATCGGCGTCAGGACAGGACGCTGGTAGTTCTTCGGACGCTATGAGCGATGATGGAGAGGAAATTGTTGAAGCGGGACCGAGATTTAGAATTGTTTCTTGCCAACTTTTAAAGGGTGATGAGGCGATAGTACTAGGTGTGGGAGGGGAGCACGAGGAAAAAGAGCGAAATGCAATGTCCAGAGAGAAAAACAGGGATAAGAATGAGCGAAGGGTAAAAGGAAAAGGAGTCGATAGGGTCATTGGACGTAGAAAAGAAGAAAACTTTTTGTAAGTCACACACAATCTCTGCGTTATACAATTTAATGTTTGGGGGTTTATTGGGAGGTTATAAAAAGTTAAGGAGACGGTTATAAATGTATACATATGAGATTGAAGAACTATTCGTAGAGAAGATATATTGGTCGTGGATGGTGTATTTAAGTCTGTAGAATTGATAACATCCACAGTTTGTAATCTCTTTGGTTTCTTGAGTTATATATGATTACTTGAGAACCTTATTATATAAGGATCGTTTGAATAGCATTATTTTATTAGATATGTAACCTGGACTCTTTTTTTTTATTATTTTGCATTTCTTTGGGTTCATTCTTGTATAATTTTTTGTTTTCCTTTTCCCCCCCTCTTCTTATCCCTTTTCGATCCCTCTAGTTTTTCAAAATCAATTACAATTATTTTTCTAAAAATCCACTTAAATGTACTCTTGTTATTTGTAACGTTCTCATAGGTCTTGGTGTCCTTACATTAGTGTTATATCATCTTATCTAGTCGTCACTATTTTTTTTTTACTCATCTTGTATAGGCTTGTTTCTCTTGCATGTTATTATAAAATATTGCCTCTTTTTGACTATGATGTCTGATGTCTGTTGTGTAGGTGAGCAAGAAGCGATGAAGATGTTAATGATCGCTTGGGGATTAATGGATCGATCGCTTATGTAACATTTACTGATAATACGAATAATTCATTCGACTCGAATCACTTGATATATATATATATATTACTCCTCTTTTTCTCACTCTCTATTTTGAATATCCCATTCTCTTTTACACTATCGTCATGTGTAAATGATACTATATATAAATACCACGTGACGATGACCAGCCCGGAGAGGAGCCCGCTAATTAGTTATATATCAAAAATTAAAATATCCAAGTCTGGATTGGTAAACCAATTAATAATATTTTCAATAAAAGGTAACAATTTGCTGTATGTGTGCTGCTGCTGCCGATGATTGTTAACATTACCGTAAGAACTGTGAAAGTAAAATGACTGTCCTCCTTTCTTCAGGAGATTAACAATATGTAATTACTTTAGTTCAAAGTTCAGATGCAATCGTCACAGTTTAAGTATGCAATTCTTTAGTATTTTAGCTAAATTTGACGCGATCTATACCCTTAACAATACTAGATTATGAATTGTTAATTAAGATTGTTGCTTATGTCATTCACGTATCCAAAAATAAGGCCAAGAAATATAGATAACAGAACACAAACTCCTTGACAAGTTTACCTAAACGTTAGCAGTTAAAGCAATTAGGATCGTCTGCACAAGGAATCAATATCCCTATACAGTAATTATGAAAGCAAATTCCGTTAGATTATTAAGCTGTCAACGCATTCCCGTCTTGAAAAAAGGGGTAAGAAAAATGCGGTACAGCTTTACAAACACAAACAGGGCAGAACGTAAGCATTAATAGAAGTTTGCAAGGTGCTTGCTACTTTGCAGTCCAGTGTGCTACTTGACAAGTTGCTCCTTTACCGTCGGGGCTGCTGGATGATAACCATGCTAAAATCCGAGATAACGAAAAAAAGAAAAGTAATTCAAATCAAATGTCTCCTTTACGAGCAAATAAAGAAAATATGGTGTGAAATTCCGTACCCCATTGCTCCATATTTGGTTTTTTTTTCAATACTAATTAAACTAATGGTATTTCTTTTTCCTATAACCCGTACAATGCAACTTGCTGTACAACCAGATTCACTTCCAAAAGTAAAAAGCCATAATTTGCCCGAATGTTTCATTTTTCTGGTTTTGTCGCAACACGCCCCATATACCAATGACGTTTGCCGTTGCTAATTATGCATAAACGAGAGGAAGTACAATTCATTGTTGTGATACTTTGTACACCAGGTCGAGCTACATGTGAATGTTTAACGTTATGGACTAGTGGTTTATTATTGTGACACCGTCCAAATGGGGGAGGCTGGAATAAAGAGCCTAACATGACGAATAAAGGTAAGCGGTGAATGCTGAAGAACCACATGGAAACAGCTGGGCAATATTGCCAAATGTTGTATTAATAGTAATACGTTGAACAACAAAGTGAACAGACTTTACCAATTGTATTACCCAACTCGAGTCAACCAATCATTATTTGCTCCATAGATGTCTCATATGGGGGGGGCGATAAATTTAGAATTCCGTTGTTCATACATGACTGACAATAATAATGACAACATTCGCAGATGTCATCGTAATCTCATGTCAACAAGGACGTAACCAATTTGACTAGCCAATAAATATTGTCCTCTTGCTAGCGAGGGACAAGGATGCATAATCATAGGCGGCCATTTATTCATTTTGTTAGGGCTTTCAATTATGTTCCCAATTTAAAACTTCTTATAGGCGTTCCCTATATCAGTTTTACACCCTTGCAACCGATTACCAATAATATTCAAATAGTGTTTCATAAAAGTTCGGCATTCACTTCGAGTTAATACATATGATTTCCCCCCTCATACTACTACGGTTTACGTAATTATTTTTGTCATTAATATGCAATTGATGTAATGGCAAGGAGCGATTAAAGTATGACCGTTCTTGTCTTTAGTATTGTAATATGGTTAAAAGTAACAATTTAAGTTTCAAGTCATTAGTCTTACCAAAAACGTACAAAAATAATCGGATGAAACATGACAAGTTAAAGTTATGATTATTAAATGCATAACAGAGATCGATTATTATTACCTTAAACTGTTAGTCCTAGCTGTTAGTATTAGTGAAGACTCACATTCGAGGAAGCTTCTGTATTCTTGGGGGGCAGTGTCAGTTAGATTATTCGCTCCCTTTTGGGAGAGGCTTTATCGAAAGTTTTTTGTCTGTGCTAATAGCCCCTTGCCAAACATCAGGGTTAGAACCCATGCACACGTTTGACTTTTTTTCTATTAAACCGTTTTAATTATAGTTATGAAACGTTACGGCGTAGTCTCAGAAGTCCCTGAATAGTACGAGGAGCAATTCAATAGTAATGTTTTATGAAAAAATTTTCACTAAACATAAAGAGCTGGTGATGGAAAGAGAGAGAGTGGCTATACAATGTATTACAAAAAGTCTTTGGACAATCAGCAATAAAATTAAAAGTCTCACGTCCTTGAAATTATGACTGGCCAATTTACGTAATCACGACCAAACTCTATAGACAATAGCCAGAGCTATAACACTAGCAATAGTAACAATATTAAAAACCTGAATCTAATAAGATGCTTGGTAAGAAGTGGCATCTCCAAAAAGATTACATACAAGTAACATAACCAAAGAATTCCTTCAATGGTTCCGACTAAAACTTGTGGGCATTGTCAAAGAAGAGAGGTGAAGCAACTACTGAAAAATATTACAGAACCAGAACAGTTTATTATAAAGAAATAAGATAATATTCTGCAAACATAAAGATGACTTTTCTGCCAATGTCTCCACATATTTAACTTTGTCGTTACTTGAAAAAATTTATTCAACAAGCATTAATTCAGACAAAACTGAAACTCAACTCACTACTATGACTAGTTGTAATAAGGAGCAACGGAGGAAAATATTTAGTATGGACGGGATAGTCAGTTGACTGATGTGAAAATTAAAAAAGATTCATTCAAAACAGTCCAATTCTTTGTTACAGTCTTAACTTATTGAAACTGTCTCTTCCTCCACTATCCTTCCCTCCCTTCGGAAAATGTCTCATCACTCTCTCCCTATTGGTATTTCAGTCTCTAGAATCTCTCCCTTTGGTATATCATGTCCCTGGTGTCTCACAACCCCTAATTCCATATCTCATCTCTTCCACTCCTGTTCTCATGCATCTCTAATCTGGGACAAAATTTCTCTCCTTTGCTCTTTCATTTCTTCTTATCATCCATCTCAACCTCACTTTAAAAACTTGGCCAACTTCTTCAATCAGCAGCCATATTCTCTATATGGAAGGACTATACATCATGCACTTTTGGTTCTTCCCTCTTCATACAATTTACTCAAATCTCTTCTCCATCTTGTTCTTAGCTATAGCATATAGATCTCTCCACCTATCCTCTTCTCCTAAGGCCCCTTGTACTTGGCCTTCTATATCTCACATCTCTTCTCTCCTCTCTCTTCCTCCTCTTCCCACTCCTATAATGCCTATTACTATATCTCCTCTTCCATTACATCTCCAAAATCTATAGCTACCCTCTTTTCTACCTTAGTTGTGGGATCTTATAACCCTCCCTCATTTATTGCATGTCTGTCTTTAGATAGAGTTAAAATATGTATATGTAGTTCAGCAATAAAGTTGTACTTATTGAAAATTAAAAAAATATCAATCACAGGGTATTCTCATTTATTGAAAATGTCATGCCACAGATAGCAAGATTATCACTTTTTGAGTAAACTGCTGTTAGAAAGACTGCATGGCAAGCTTATTGTTCCTAACCGTAGTGAACAGCTGTTTGAAAAAGTTGCTTGTGCAAACCCTCACCTTCATATCAAAGGTCAACTTGAATTAATGTCAGTTTTCAAGGAAACAGTTTAGGAAATTGCTAAAACCACTATTTGGCAATTAAAGTGTTTTCTTCTCTGCACCAAAACCATAGACAAAAAAAAAACAAAACAAATGTTATTTAGATGCAAGAGATCATGCAAGTGGCATCTGGTGTTGTGCCAACATGAATGGGTAATTTCATTATAGAACTAAGGTGAGAAAGTGAACAAGCATCAGATGTTAATTAGAGGAGTAGACTAATCATGATGGATATGTAATAGTAATAGGGGGAGTCTGACATAGTCTCAATAGGGTAAATTTTGCAAAAAAAATTTTACATAAAATTTTTTGTAAAAGATTATTTTAAAGATGTAGTATGGGTATTTACTTCATATATACCAGTTTTTGTTACAATTTTTTAGCTTTTTTGAAAGTTCAGAATAAGGCAAATTTTTTTATTAATGGTCAAAGTGCAGATAGCATAACAATAACATTCTTAAAAATGCATAACAAATGAAGGGTAAAATCTGTCAAAATTAGGCCTACTATAACAAACTTTTGATAATATGAACCCATTGGACTACCTATCCAAAAATTTGGAAAAAAAATTTTTTGGTCACTACTGTAACAAACATACAAATGCAATGATTTGTCAATAACCACTTTTATACAACTCAATCTTTTCTCTTTACCTCTGACATATTTTCATAAAAAATATATCTTACTTCATGCTTTAATATATCCTTGTTCAGCTACCTTTTCATAAAATTCAAGTGCCTTTTTAATATCAGTTTCCACCCAATTCCATTTTCATAATACAGGCCAAGGATTTCCTTTTTTTAGCACCCAATTGACACAAGCCAGTTACATAATGAATGATAATATCTAATCCTACCATATTGCTATAATGCCTGCTGTTTTTAACTTGCACTGACAAATGTACTTGTTTTATTGCATTCTGATAGAGCTCAACTGCTTTTTGTTCATCTTCTACTTCAGTTTGCAAGATTAAATTGAGCATTGGCATGTCCTTGTTCAGCTGCTTTTTTATACCATTCAACTGCTTTTCATTGCATGTGCTATTCTCATCTATCCCAAATTAGTTAATGTCTGGAAGAAAAACAGGTATCATGGGATCGTTAATGATGTAAATGACCTGGTTATGCAAGGATTGCTACTTATCCTTTACCCTCTGAAGATTGGGTTAAACCAGGTTTAGATCAAGTCGTCGAGAAACTAAACAGTTTGAATTCGAACTGACAGATACCTTGATTAGAGATGCTTTAATCTTATTCGAGCATAGGTTGAAAGATATAGGAGAAATACTGATGATGCGTTTGCTGTCGTTCGCAAACTGCGTAAAAGGAAAATAATCTCGATCTGTTTGACGGAATTGTTGAATCCTGACAGAAATCTCAAGCGACATGATCTACTCGATTTTATAGTCAATCAAATTGAGAAATCTGAAGAGGTCTATTTCCAGCCATTTACGTACCTGAAATACTCGCCCATAGTATATCAATATACCATAGTCGAATTTGGCGCTCAGTCGAAAGCGGCTAAACATCTGATGAATGAAGTAACGTCTGTTAGAATTGCAATCACCCTGATGACTGAAGTTCTATCTCAACAAGTGCCATCGGGTCTTACGAGTTTGCGCTGGCTAGATTCAATTACTATCTTCAATGAATATTAACAAAGCGAAAGTTCCTTTAAAGGCCTTTATTCGAAAAACGTCAAAGCGAGCGAGAGTTGCAGGAGGCGATGGAGTATACCTCCGCCGACCGGGAACTTGGGCTTATTTGCGATAATAATCTCGATTTATCTTAAGGGTAAAATTCAGTCAAATAACTTTCGTTAATAAACTGCTTATGCGGAATTTATGGTTAGGTGATCATTATTACATTGTAAGCTCTTATTGTTTACAGACCATCTCCCTACCTCTTTCGACATATTTTTTAAGACATTACCAATATATCAAAGGAATTTTGGTTGATGTGGCTAAAATCTATCTGCCGTACATTCTTCTTGCATGTATTGAATTATTTACGATATAAGGTTTTTCTATGATTTCTTGTCCCTACTTTTGAATGATGTCACACGATTAATTGTCCCACGCTGCAACATAGAGAATTTATTACCAAGTTGCATAGATATAAGGGGGAGGTCATATCTTAAATTCCTTCGAGAAACATCAATTAGAGCGATGACTTCCAGACAAGGACTAACTTACAACAAATTGTGGGACCAAGGCATTAGGAGTCGTATGGAGTAAACACATTGGTGTTCCTGTCAGTATGGTCTATGTTAATATTAAATAACTCAAACAGTCTGGAACCGTTAAGGAAGCAGCCGCCTTAGGAATATTGAAGCCAATGTATCAAGAGCATTAGTTTGATGTATTCGGATGCTTTGCTACTAACGCTTTTTCTGCACTCTATAGTCTTTAGGTGAACATTACATTACAAAGAACGTAAAGCTTTAGAACACATTCTTTTCTTTTTGCAGACTAACGCATGTTCTCATCCCAAGCATGATATATGAATCTACAGCACATCCAGAACGCTTAACCAACTTCAAAGTTGTGGTACACGATAGTGTGTCGTTGCTTATATAAATCCGACCACGATCCCGAATATATAAATGTATCTGATTATCTGCTGCCATTTGAAAAGCTATCGGATGAAAATATAAAGAAGTCAAAGTAGGTCATACGTATTATGCAGCGAAAATCGTTCACTCTCGAATCTCAAATCTGCGTATGCGGGGGCTTTATATTCGGAATGTTAACTGATCATACCCAGAGTAGGAAGATTAAACCGATGCTGACATTTGTATGCAAAGCACTAGGAACCCTCAAGGAATTTCAGGCTATGCTGGGAAATGCTGAATCACCTTTAGCAAACTTTTTGACCAGCTATATTAGACACTTCTATCCTTTTATTAATACCAAAATTAGCTCAGCAATATTTTTTTTAATTCGCTTTGCTTATATTGTTTTGAGAAAGAACTTCATTATATCGAGTGAAAATTTAATAATACTTTTTTTGCATCAAAAGAATTCTCACTATAGTGCCATATCATTACATCGAAACAAGACGTAATTGTATCACATTCGCACAAATGAACGAGGCTTCGTTTACGATGTTTAGAACTTTTTTCAGGCATTGGTGGCATGCTTCAATTTCAAAGAATAGTACCCAATATTAAATGGAAGTTGGAATTTGTACGACACAGCATTTTGCTTTAAACACTAAATGTGGTGCAGATCACTAAAATTAATGATGACGGTAATACAAACATATCCTTTTAAATTTTAGAACTTTTTATTGTACGTACAAACAGACCGATAACAATTAACTAATAAAAGGACGCAAAACTCCAATAACAATAATTATTAATTCCATCACGACATTAATATTAGCGTCTATCGACATTGTACCATCATTATTAATGCAAATCGGCAATTATTAACTCTGCAAACATCACATTTAGTCACCTGGTCAATGACCCTCAACTTGACAACACTCAACAACTGTTTGTTGACCTGTTATCATTGACGATAATTTGACCGTGTGGACGCTCAATGCCGAATACTTACATCTTATAATTCATGCTTATGCTAATTGTAGGCTTATTGCGGCAGCGTAAACGAGCAAAGCTTATATATTTAGCAACTGCGACTGTAATTTTAACGTTATCATAGTTGCGTATTTTAAAGTACTTCGCTATATTGGGTCTATATGAATGCGAAATTTAAGGCACAGGTTACTGGAGACTCCACCTTATTGGCTCAATATTGAAATTGTGCTTATAAACTGCATTCGCAACAATGGTGAAGTATTTAGAAGCAAAGCCTTGAAGCAAAGGATAATAATAATAAACATAGATTTCGGATTGTACCGTATTGTTTGTTGCACAAATTAGATGTAACAAGAATAGCATTAGTATATATAATCGTTTTCGAACTTTGCTAAGTGTCTACGGATGTCGCCTTGTCAACCGACCAGCTTCCACGTATGTGTTTGAATAATTTAATGCTAGAACTCAAAGTGGAAATTATTCTCCACTTGAGGAATCCTACAGTACTTGCCAAATGTTCGCATGAATGGAACAACATTGTAAACTTACCTTCTACGAAATCCAAGTGGTTGATCGGCAGAAATGGGAGAACTCATGCATTATTTCACGCAGTAAGGATGGGCGAGCCTTTTATTAATCTTGATGTAGTCGAATGTCTATTTGCGCAGAAGGCGCACATCAGTCGATACTTTATCCAACAATTGGTGCTCGGATTTGGCAACTACGACAGTAGACTTATTGATCTCAAACTTACGCATAACATGGGTACTCTCGATCCGGATCGAAAAAAATCTATTCAAAATAAGATCCGTAGCCCGTGGGCAAGCAATATCTCCTTCGAAGTTTACTCCCGAATTCTCAAAGAGGGTCATGATCGGTTTGACGGGAATGATATTCCCATCCGAGGAAATGACATGGAGTCCTTTTATTACTTATCGGCTGGTCCATTGGTTATTAGGCAAGCGAGAACAAAATTGAAGGAAAACAAAAAGGAAATCAAAGCTCTGATTCGGAGATACAAGTTTGCCCCTTTTCCTCCGAGACCGAAAACCCGAAAACATATTCTCGAGAAAAAAGATGGGAATATTGGGCTGAAGCCCAATTCAGAGTCAGAGTCACGTGGCACTAATTTTGGTGACTATCCGCCATCTGACGGGTATGAGAACGTGAGACAACTAACAGTCATTGCACGCGCTATACTCATATATCCCAAATTAGTTAACGTCTGGAAGAAAAACGGGTATCATGAGATCGTCAACGATGTGAACGACCTGGTCATACGAGGATCGTTACTTATCCTTTATCCCTCGAGATCTTCCGAAGATTGGGTTAAACCAGGTTTAGCTCAAGTCGTCGATAAACTAAAAGATCTTATATTGCTTGGATTCGAACTGACGGATGCCTTGATTGGAGACGCTTTAATCTTATTTGAGCATAGATTGAAGGATATAGGAGAAATACTGATTGATGCGTTTGCCGTCGTTCGCGACCTGCCTAAAAGGGAAATAATCTCGATCTG